ACATTGGTGGAAGGAAGTGCAGGCTCTGCAACCAGACAACTCCAGTCATGTGTGTGACTTGTGATATGTTGTTGTGCTTTCAGCCTGAGAGGGACTGTTTCAATGATTGGCATGAAAAACAAGGCTTTTGATTTATGGCTTCAGTGAATGTTACCATGTTAAGGGTCATAAGGGCCTAAATGTGTTTTGTTTTGTTACGTTTTGTAAAGGACGTGGAAAGTTTGACTTTTCACATATGACAGCTGATGCTGAAATATTACAAATAAAACATACTAGAAATGGATTTACGACTTTGTTTCATGAGTTTTATCAACATGCATATGAAATGGGCTTGGTTTAATTAAAATGTAATGTTTGCAAATTAGTTTATAAATGATGTTTTAATGGGCTGAATCCAGGCTTCAAATGACAATAACCCATTCAGACCTGATTTTTTTTCTCTCCACTAAGTAAAAATAATTCTTCTTAATTGATATTTGCTCTTTCAGTGTTGAAAAGAATCGTAAAAAAAGACAACTCACTTTTTTTATCAGAATTTTTACATGTCCACTGCAAATGGAAACCATTACTGAAGGAACATAAAGTCCTCCCATTTTAACCATACCGGTACTTGTGAACTATAACACCATATGTGAACTATTGTTGACGATTTTGAAAGAACACACTGTAACAATGAGCAATGCAATCAGTATGTAGATAAAGTAAGATGATAGGTGATAGTGTTTGTGCACTTGATTATGATTGTGTGCATATAATAGCAAGGTGTGTGTGCTGCTGTATATTCACTCATTTTATGTTCACTGTTGCTGTTTTTCCACTAAAAAAAACCTGAATGAATGTTTATGGTCACAACATTGAATACAAAATCATATTAATCATAAACAATGTCCATAAAATATTAACATTATAATTTGTAACTGGTTTAGCTTTGAAATTCAATATCAACAGATACAATCTAAGTTGCTCCTCTGAAGTGTATGAGAAAATTATTAAGGGTATTCTAATGCCGATAATTAAATAATGAACATTTGAAATATTCAATGATAAAACCTAAAATACATCCTGCAAAATATTTTTTACGAATAAGATTTAATGTTGGGGATTCAAATTTATTTTAAAAATGCAAGTTAGAAATAGAAACTGTTGAACACTTTTTTCGGTGTAAGTGCACGCGTTCTGGAACGCGTTCAGCTGGATGCAACAACGAATACCTGCAAGACTGATACTTTCGTGGGAAACTTTTGTTTTTTTAATTAAGGATAAGAAGCTATCTTATGGTATAATTTGTTGCTTTTGTTGAAATTTTACGTACACAAATCCTCCCAGATTAATGTTTTTTAAAGAGGATTTTATGTGTGTGTATATAGTCAACACATGTTCCATGAAGATATTTTGTAAATTTCCAACTGTAAATATATAAAACATTTATTTTTGTGAGTGAATGCTATGGAAGTAAAATAATGTCAAAAGTTTTTGAAATAAAAAGCCTGTTGAATTGCACTACTTGAAAAAAATAGGCATTGCATTAACCATGCTTGCATTTTAAAGCATTGTTTTTTTAGGGCTTGCATTTTTATGGGCTGAAATTCAACATGGTTGAATATTTAAGCTGTGAATATTTCAATTAAAAACATTTCAAACACATTTTCATTATTAAAAATTCAATAATCCATATTCACCATTCATATTTCATTTCCAAAATATTCAAACTGTTTAAAAATACAACCAATAATATTCCACAGGCAATTTTCGGTCCATTTTATTTCGCTTTGCAAATTCGCTTCCACAAATTCAGTGGTTCAAATTCGACAGTAAATTCAACATTGACGTCCAGGAACTGCAGGAAAAGCAGAAGATTGCCGAGCATCCTCTCCATCTGCTGTTAATCGACCTCACCAGCAGATGGTGCAAAACCGCTTGTTGTTGACGAAGACCAGCAAAATTAGAGCAAGTCATTCATTCATAAAACTCATTACAGCAATGTAAGTTTATTTGTGATTATTATGACGGCTGTTTTTGTTAAATTCGGTGCCTTCACGGTTACTTTTCCCGTGTAGCCAACATGCATATTTCTCTACCGTGAACGAGATCATAATTTTATTCCCCGATGCGGATATACAGATCCAATGTTACATTTTTGAGGTTGACATATATTTATCTTGGTTGTTTAGTTGCCTTAACTTTAAATTGTGGCGATGTGCTGCATGCAGGCTATTAGGGTTTCCCTCAATACTTCAGGATTCCCCTGCTGGACATATATGCTTAACGTAGCTTAATGGACTAGTGATGTAAAAGTCCAAACTCAAAGGCAAGCAGAAGGACTCAGAGTAACGCGCACAGCTAAGCGTTTCCCAGTTGGACATTCGCACATTTAGGGACCGTCTCTAAAGTGTATACGACTTTGGTATACACGTTTCTAACTTCAATAGCATTTGAATAGAACGACTTACAGACATAAAACCAACTGTAAAGTGTTCATGTAGTGTCAGGCATAATGCGCACCCTTTGGATTTCTTATATTTATTCAAATTTAAGTTTGCTATTGAAGTTAGAAACGTACATGCCAATGTTGTATGTTGCCAAAGCGATTTACAGTTAAACTAACAATAGGAGGACAACAATATGCAAGTGCTATGATCCCAGTTTAAGCTAATGCAATACACGTAGGCATTTTAGGAGTTTAGGACTTTATATATATATATATATGTATTATATATATGTATATATATATATATATAGAGAGAGAGAGAGAGAGAGAGAGAGAGAGAGAGAGAGAGAGAGAGAGAGAGAGAGAGAGAGAGAGAGAGAGAGAGAGAGGAGAATAGAATAGAATAGAATAGAATAGAATAGAAAGTGTTAGTAGTAATTGATCAAGTGTTGATTTTATGCCAGTATATCACGAAACGCTCAGCATGAAACTTTGCGCGTAAAGTTTATTATCTGAGTCCATCTTCTTGCCTGTAGCCTATATAGTAGCCTACAGCCTACATCCACAATAAGGTGCAAGATTGGTCTTTCATATCACTGTATGTGTTAAGCGTTTTGTCCCAACGGAAAGGGAATCCTTGAGTATGAGGTATTGAGGGAAACCGATTATAATCCTGTTCATGGTAGAGAAAGCTGATGACATGTAGAATACACAGGGAAAGTAACAATGAAGTTATTGAATGAAACATAAACACAGCTTTTGTGTGTTTATCATCTTTTCCGCATATACTGTCACAGATAATCATTTCCATTTTATGAATGAATGTCTTCGTCAACAACAAGCGGTTTTGCACCATCTGCTGGTGAGGTCGACTAACAGCAGATGGAGAGGATGCTCGGCAATCTTCTGCTTTTCCTGCAGTTCCTGGACGTCAATGTTGAATTTACTGTCGAATTTGAACCACTGAATTTGTGGAAGCGAATTCGCAAAGCGAAATGAAATGGACCGAAAATTGCCTGTTGAATATTATTGGTTGTATTTTTAAACAGTTTGAATATTTTGGAAATGAAATATGAATGGTGAATATGGATTATTGAATTTTTAATAATGAAAATGTGTTTGAAATGTTTTTAATTGAAATATTCACAGCTTAAATATTCAACCATGCTAAATTTCAGCCCATAAAAATGCAAGCCCTAAAAATACAATGCATTAAAATGCAAGCATGGTTAATGCAATGCCTATTTTTTTTTCAAGTAGTGCAATTCAACAGGCTTTTTATTTCAAAAACATTTGACATTATTTTACTTCCATAGAATGCAGCATACATGGACAACTTTAAAGGCGATTTTCTCAGTGTTTCGATTTTTTTTTTTTGCTCCCTCAGATTCCAGATTTTCAAATATTGTCCTATCCTAGCAAACCATACATCAATGGAAAGCTTATTCATTCAGCTTTCAGATGATGTATAATCTCAATTTAAAAAATTGACCCATGTGATGTACCCAGGGTCACTCACATATGAATAACAATAAATAAAAAAAAAGATATTACTTCCGCAAACGTATACGTCACAGCTTGAAAGGACCCAAATCATGCGCAGAAAGGAGACTTGCCACTGGCAGGCTTCAGGCAGTCCGTGAGCAGTTGGAGTGTTTGTATCATGTCGTGGGGACGCTGTGAGTTCCGATGCGAAAGCAGAAGTCATTTGTTTGGCCTTCCGAAGACGGATGAAATTAGGAATCAATGGTTACAATTTATTTATAATGTTGTTCCTGAGCGCTACAGCCCAAAGGTTCGCTTGTGTGCTGCGCATTTTACAAAGGACAGCTTCCTAAACCTGGGAGAATACAACGCCGGCTACACACAAAGGCTACTCCTGAAAAATGGAGCAGTTCCCACTTTGGTCAGACAGTCTGGCGCCTCTTCATCAAAACTTGTAAGTATGTTTGATTATTTGTTGAAGTGTTTGCTATTGACTGTTCAAACGTAAAATACCTTGTGTGGCCATTTGTTCGTGCCACTTGTAACTTATGATACGTTGGGGCTGTATTACAGAAACATCCTATCTTAACATTTGACTTCCGATTTTAAAAAGTTATGTGAAATTGCCATGGTTACGAAACAGGATAGGATGTTTGAGTTTGAACCTTTCTGTCCTAGGGCCTGTGCTCTTTTAAAGTCTCACTGTGGTGAAAACCAAGCTTTTAATGTTGTTTATATGTCTATGTGGTGTTTTCAAAATGCTTTAAGACCATGTACAAAATGCAATTAAAACTTTAAAGGGGTGGTAAAACGATTTCACTTTTCTAACTTTACTTTAGCTAGTATGTAATGCTGTTTGAGCATAAACAACATCTGCAAAGTTACAACGCTCAAAGTTCAAAGCAAAGGGAGATATTTGCTTTTAAAGAAATCCATTTCTAAGGACTACAGCAAACGGCCGGTAGGGCCGTCCCTCCAGGGTTGCTGACATCACTAACCCCAATATTTACATAAACCCCCCTACGAGAATACTAAATAAGCGGGGCGAGGCCATTTTATATTGCTTTGGAGAAGAGTTGTTGTTGTGGTATAGGCTGGAAGTGTTGTTGCCGCAATGCCGTCGAAACGCTGTTATTTTCATCCGGATTGCAGGTCCACTTTGTTCAGCCTTCCTAGGGACGGGGGAGTTAGGGATCAATGGTTAAAATGTATTTTTAACTCGGTCCCTCATAATTATTACCCAAATCTCGCTCTCTGTGCTGCACATTTTACGGAGGAAAGCTTCCACAATCTTCGCGAGTTCAATGCAGGATTCGCACAACGGCTTGTCCTGAAAGATGGAGCAGTTCCAACTTTAAGAACAGAAGCTGTTGTTTACGGGCCACAACCTGTAAGTATGATTTATTTTTCGTCGGTGTGTTTTCCTGTAATAGTTCGTATTGTTAATTGTACTAGCAAGGAAGTAAACAAATGACAACGCTGTTTGGCTCTGCAAAGTTTGTTAAATGCTCATACAAACACCTAACGTTACAACCTTTTTTTTTATCTCAACAGCGAACTTGGAATTAGTAAATGATTCTTTGATTAGAGCTTTTATGTTTATCTACATGCTTGTTTATCTACAGGCATGCTAAACATGGTTCTGTGTTTGATTTGGCTACTGTAGTAAAGCCAATGTTTAGTGTTCGGTTTGGGTTATAATAGTTCTGGCGACAGATATTTGGCTACAATCGTTCTAAAAATACAAAAGTAACGGTGCCATAACGTTACAGTCAGTATTGATCACTATAATTAGATCCGCAGTCTTTACTAAAAAAAATCCCTTTGAGGACTGTTTTCCACTTCAGTTGGCATTTTTGCACAGTTACTACGTACACCTAATAAAATATATTTTTTAAATAAAAAATGTTCTTGAATACACTTTTGTTAATAGACAAACACTTGTTACTGTTATAAATTAAACATCAACTATAATAATTAGTACAATTAAATAACAGCGTATCTTAAAAGTAATGAGACAACATCAACAAAAAACAAACCATTCTGAAACGTCGTTTAACAGCCGTTCTTGAACAGGTTCTGCTCGATCATCTTCACTAACATTGTCTGGGTCCGATTCGGGCTCAAATTGGTATGGTTTTATTGAAGCCATTGTTTATAATCATATAAGCACATCATTAGGATCACATCAGCTAGAAATACCAAGGGTTCACTCTAAGCATGGAGAGTCTGCTTTTAGCTATTATGCCAGCCGCAGCTGGAACCAGCTTCCAGAGGAGATCAGATCCCTCCTACAGTAGTCGCATTCAAATCCAGACTCAAAACAAATCTATTTAGCTGTGCATTTACTGAATGAGCACTGTTCGTCCGATTGTTTTCTATGTAAAGCACTTTGAATTACCATTGTGTATGAAATGTGCTATATAAATAAACTTGGCTTGCCTATAATACACCAAAGCACAAACTACCGGTAAAGGTAAGGGGCGTGACGTTTCCGAAAAACGTGCACTAGGCGGTTAGCGAATTACAACACACTGGCCCAGCTAACCAATATGAGCCCATTGCTATTTTTGAGGGACTGATTTCATAGAACCCGGAAACCATCAGACCGTTTTTACAAGGAGGGACAGAGCATTGTAGAATAAAGGTAAAATATATGAAAAATAATGCAATTTTTTAAAAACGAAGCATGAACACGTTACAGTGCACCCCACAAACACAATCAAGCCTTCGAAAAAATGTGTTTTACCACCCCTTTACAACTGTGGTGAACCAAAGACATCGCTGGTGTTTCTGACGTCACAAACTATCTTGTAACCAATCACGTCAACGTGTGATTGTTCGTGGATCTCTGAGCTGGATTGAGTGGAGGCGGGGCTAATTTGCATATTCATAGAACCGTACATACTAAAGGCAAGGGTGTAGTGTTGCATTCAAGCTAATTAGGGCAAGAATGTTTTTCAAGGAAACATTTAAATGTCATTTTGGGTGGTCAAAGATGTGTTTTAAGGAATAAAATTGACTACAGCGGGACTTTAAAACGAACCTTTCGAAAAAACCTATTCGCAGGAAATACGTCCCTACGGGACTCACGTCGAGAACAAATTGTAATTTGCTGTCTTACCCTAGCATGTGAGTTGTGTATGTTTTTAGGCTAATTTTTGAAACTACTGTATATTATAATATTTGCGGTGCTGTCAGCTTGCATACTATAAACTTCAAGTTAAAGTACTTTGTTGATAATACGTTTGTCTGTAGTTGTACATGTCTTATGCTTGTATGAGCATAATAAGTGACTATTTAAAAGTATTGTTGTTAAATATTGTAGATATCGATCTGCTTAAAATCCATGTGAAAATAGCTCATATTTAGTAAAAGGAAATTACATGTGTGGGTAATGCTACTCTATTACCTATATAAGCCCCGCCCCTCATTTCCTTCCTGTGGATGCTGGTCTGAAACTGCTGGCTTCTAGGGGTGTAAATATTAATCGATTCGTATCGATCCATCGATTATACAGCCGACGATTCGATGCGTCCGCAAGAGTATCGATTGTTTATTTTGCCGCCTGTCTATTTTCAGCATCAGCTCCGACATATGCGTACATCCTATTCCTAAACTGCGGGTGGCGCTAACCTCATTATTGTCTTCTACTTCACACCGCTTCACAAGCGTTACTTACGTTTCACAGTCTATCTATGTTCACACCAAGGGGGTAATCCATCGACCGGAAGTTGAAGCCGGCCGGGTGCCACCATCTTGTAGCAGAACTTCACTTGCGTTAGCATTTCCATTGACTCCCATTCATTTTGGCGTCACTTTGACAGAGAATAACTTTACATCTGAGGCAATTAAAGACTCCATTTGTCCATTATTTATTTCTAAAGAAACACGACAATGTATAAAGGGCTCCATTACCTTCTATGTTACATTATAGCCCCGTAGAAACAGTTTTTGTAAAAATAGGCTAACGATTGCGTCATAACCACTCGACTCTCTGTCGCGCTGTACAGAAATGACCGTACAGACAGGAGGAGAAGCTCGCAGGCAATCGGGGGGACGTCCCGTCAAGGGAGAAGCCCATAGATAATGAGTCCATAAAAGCAACGGAATACTTACTCCTGCTCACTCACGCCAAAGAACTCTTTGCTCAAGTTCCCCGTCTCTGCAAGATTAACGTTGGCAATTTTCACGCACAGCTACTAGAAGATTTACGTCTGTCAGACAGGTTGCTCACGTCATCAAGCTTAGTTTGAGTCGGTTTGTGTCTGCGCGTCGGGAACGGAAGTGCTCAAAAATCGCTAAAAATGGGCTTCAACTGTCTCAACTGAGTTCCAATGAGATGGCTCTGTCCACTTCTTATACTGTCTATGGTTCACACACATTGTTGAGTCTGACTTTCAAGAGCGATGAAACCGTCAGAGCGAGCTGGCAATGAAAGTGAAATGTTACACACTCCAGTCGGCGTCAAGTCATGGGTGTGGAAGTATTTTGGCTTCAGGAAAACAGATGGAGCAGTGGTAAGAGATGTTGCCGTTTGCAAAGAAGACTGCTATAGTGTAACATACACATTATGTGAATGGAATACTGTGGCGAGCAGGACGCGGCTGACGTGAGAAAACGGCGCGAGGCCGGTGGTGTGAAAGAACGGCGCGAGGCCGGTGGTGTGAGTGTTAATGAACGTCACCTGTGAGACGCACCGGTCTCGCATCTCTCACGGGGGAGCGGAAGCATAAAAAGAGGAGCGACGAGCTGAAGACCGAGAGACCGGTGCGTCTCACAGGTGACGTTCATTAAACGCCACCGGCCTCGCGCCGTTCTCTCACCGCGTCCTGCTCGCCACAAATGTTGTTTCTGTATTCTCAATAAAAGGCTATTATCATCTTTTTTTTGTTGATTTATTTGAAACTAGATATCATGTACAAAAAAAATATCGAGTATTGAATCGTATCGTGGGAAATTCTGAAGTAGCGAAAATAATCGAATCGTTGGCTTAAGAAATCGGTATCGAATCGTCATTAAGGCTCGATTTACACCTCTACTGGCTTCTGGATACTATTACTAGCCACTGAATCAGTTTACTCCCCTAATATTCAGCAGCAAAAATCCGCAAGGATTGATCTTCAGTACTTTCCGATGGATCCAAAGAAAAGTACTAAGAAGGGTGTGAAGGACAGTACAGGAAGTAGTGATGAAGATATTTGTGACCGGGACAGTGTGGCCAGTAGTGTGGACAGCACAGCAGAGGAAATGTTTATGGATGGCCTTGACTCTGTTTTAGATCGGTGAGTTTTTCTACACATTTTCTTGATAGTTTTAAATATATATTTTAGCACTTATGATGTGGGTTGAAAATTGTTTGAAATCCAATTGTATTGGCATCTCTTACAAATTTTTTTTTTTTTTTTTTTTTTTTACTTATTACAAATGTGCTTTGCTATCATAACAGTAAGTGTGGGGGTTTGATGGAAAGTTGTAGATTTATAGATAAATAATCATGTAGCAAAGTTCCTAGTTCAGGTAAGGAGGCGGCGAGAACTGTCGATGCAGTCGGAAGGATGAGACGGAATCCTTCCTCCCTGATTTCGGCACCAATGTATCAAAGGTCAGGGAAGGAGGCAGGAACTGGCGAATGTTCAACATAGTTTAATAAAAAAAAAAATTAAAAAAAAAATTGAAGTAAATGTAAAAAACAACCAAGTAAATGTCATCAGAGCATGTGAGCGGAGTGGAGCGGGAGCGGGCGGATATTGGACAGAGCGCAGAGCGGCATTTTTAAAAGGACCGAGCGTCGCCCTATTTCCCGCTCCAATTTCGCTCCGCTCACACCACGAGTCTGACTCCACGTCTTTTCCCCGCCTGGCTAAAGAAGCTCGCATTGTATTCAGCATCCCAACCGGGTCTGCGAGCGCAGAGAGGGTTTTCTCCGCAACCACCGCATGAGTCTGAAGCCTCAGACATTGTCCAAACTTGTGTTCTTGAAGGTGAACTCAAAAGAACTGTAGATAAGGAAAGCAATTCATTTTCTTTCTTTTTTTTTTAGATTGACAACATAAGCCAATTTAAATTGTAATCCACGTGCACTCTGCGCAAAAGTTCAGTTATACGAATTTTGGCCTAATAGTTCATTTAGCCTACTTTTAAAACTTTGATGTAGCCTATAACCTGCATATTTTTATTTATATAATTAGGCCCATTGGTTCGTTTAATTTTACAGCAATTTTTTTGTACAATTGATATAAGCCATCGTGCACGCTGTGCAAAAGTTTAGTTATCAAAATGTTGGCCTAATAGTTCATTTACTTTTAAAACGTTTATGTAGGCCTATATTTTTTTATATTTTTGTTTGTATAATTTTTATTTATATTATTAGGCCCATTTATTCGTTTAATTTTACAGCAGTTTGTGTGTACAATGGATAGGCTATAAGCCAATTAATTTTAATTGTGCGCAATGCGCAAAAATTCAGTTATCAAAATTCTGGCCTAATAGTTAATTTACTTTTAAAACTTTTATGTATATTTTTGTTTATATCATTTTTATTCATATTATTAGGTCAATTTATTCGTTTAATTTACAGGACTTTTTGTATAGGCTATATTCCTATATTCCTTTGAGTGGAGCACGAAGCAAACTGCGTTGAGCGATAATGAGCGAAGCGGCCTGATGTGGCTTTGAGCGGAGGGGTGAACAGTTCCGTGAGCGAGGAGCTGAGATTCTCACCGCTCCACTCCGCTCATATGCTCTGAATGTCATAGGCCGGGTCCTTTTTCTCCTTTCACTGTTGTCATTCCTCCTTATATCCTTCCGGAGCTCCTCTGTGGGACTCGAACCTGGGGTGTGTTGCAGGTTCGCTCATTTAGCATTCGCTCCATCGGCCTCGCTACGCTCCCACAGCTCTTGCCCGGCCTGCTTTACATCACAAATCCAATTGCTATACTCCTAATAGCAACAAAATATACTTTCATATAAATAAGCATCAGCCACTTAAAGCCTTCTGACACAATTCTTAAGATTTCACTTTGATAAAAAATAAAACAGTCCTACTTTTTAATCTACAGTGCATTACTGTTCACAAATCACCCATTAACAAGTTGATATACATATATATATATATATATAAAATAAAAATAGAACTGCATGAAGCAGAGACTTTTTGTTTCAGTCAAGGCTTAAGCCTAGTCCCGGACTAAAATGCATGTTTGTCTTAAAGGGATAGTTCACCCCAAAATTTTTAATTGTCATTAATTACTGACCCTCATGTCATTCCAAACCGGTAAGACTTTCGCTCATCTTCGGAACACAAATGAAAATCATTTTGATGAAATCTGAGAGCTTTCTGTCCCTCCATAGACAGCTACACAACTACCACTGTGATGCTTCAAAAAGTTCATGAAGAGATCGTAAAACGAATCCATATGAATTGAGTGGTTTAGTTCAAATTTTCTGAAGACATGACGTTTTATATGATGAATGGATTCCCATAAACATTCATCAATGCGCACATCAGTTGTGGTAAACGGAAGCTCAAACATGTTCGCTTGACATGCGAGAACCAATGAGGTTCATTCTTGTGTAACGCAGCGTGTTTGAGCTTCTGCAAGAACTAATCAGGTGTGTCCTCTCTCAACAAGCAGGATCGGTTGAGCTTCTGTTTGTTTGCTTATTAAAGATTATGTTAATAAAAGCCTAAATTGAATCTGTTCATCATATTAAGTGAACTTTCTCTTCAAAAAATTTGTACAAAACCTCCTAGTTTTTTTTATTTTTCTTTAGTTTTACGATTTCTTTATGAAATTTTTGAAGTGTCAAAGTGGTAGTTAAGTAGCTGTCAATGGAGAGACAGAACTCACTCAGATTTCATCAAAAAGCTCTTCATTTGTGTGAGAATTTGCATGTTTATTAATCCTTCCTTCCATTTTTTTGCACATTGGTCTGAACAGTCAAATTAAATACAAAAATCAAACCAAATATTTGTGTTGGTGTGAACTGGCCGTTAGTCAGTTCGCACTAACTGCTAGTTGTTAGAGTTGTAAAGTACATTGCTAATTCCTTTTTTTACTTCTTGTATCATGCAATAGGCCTTCATGTGACATTTACCCCCCAGAGGATGACTGTGATTCAGAGGACAACCCACAGCAGAGAAAGAGATTCCGTCTGTCTTCCACTGCTGATAGGGATGGCAGAGAGAGTGAAAAGGATGGTTTCTCTGTATCAACAGAAAGGTGGCACAGCTCAGATGAAGCAGATGTTGAACCACTTCAGCTGGATTTCACTCCTGTCCAAGAACCTGGGCCAAAGTTTTTACCGAGTTGGTGCAGCAATCCTTTGCAGTTTTTTCAACTGTTGTTTTCAAAAACAATGTTGCAGACCATTGTAGAGCACACAAATGACTATGGAGCCAAGTGCCAAGAGAGAAAGGGCAAGGTCTGGGAAAATATTTGTCAAAACGACTTGAAGTCGTACATAGCCCTGGTCATTTACATGAGTATGTTCAAGTGCTCTTCGCTGACTGACTATTGGAGTGTTTCCCAGCACTTCAGTCTGTCCTTTCCTGCAAAAGTCATGTCTTACCAGAAATTTCTGTCAATCTCTAAAGCTCTTCATCTAAGCGACAGCAGGGAGGATGAGAAGAACCGCGTTAGGAGGGGAACAGCAGCCTTTGAACGCCTGGGTAAAATTCAACCCCTGTATCAAGTTATTAGGGAGGCTTGCAAGACATTTTTTCATCCTTTTCAGAGAATCACCATTGTTGAAAGAATGGTGACATCGCAGGCTAGAACTGGACTCAAGCGATGCATGAAAAACGAATCTCCAAACATGGGGTACAAACTCTTTGCACTGACAGACTGCACCTCTGGCTATACGTGGGACTTCTTTATTTACGAGGGGAAGTCATGTTCTTCACAGAGCGAGGGCTTGAGTTATGAGTCCGTTATGGCATTGGTGGATGAAAATATGTTGGGTTCTGGGTACAAACTGTTCGTAGACAAATTTTACACCAGCCCCACACTCTTCAGTGACCTCTTGTGTAAAAAGGTCTGGGCTTGTGGCCCTGTATGGGCAAACAGGGCAGGTTTCCCTAAAACAACTGTGAACAGACTGTCAAGGACCGCTCCGCGCGGCACCATGCGTTGGATTAGGGATGACGAGCTGCTGTTTGTTGAGTGGAAAGACTCAAAGGAAGTGCAGATGTGCTCCACCTTCCATAAAGCCTATGAAGGTGATACTGTGCAGAAGAAGGTGAAGGGTGACGCTCAACCGACCCATGTGCAGGTCCCCATTCCAGCTGTGGTGTTGGACTTCAAGAAGTAAGTAAAACGTATTCAGATATAAACTTGCAATTGTGAGAAATAAGCTTCCATACTTTACTCTATTTAACTGTTTAAAGTTTGAAATATGCATTTTATATTTCCACATAGGACCATGGAGGCAGTGGATCTATCTAATTGCGTTACTGGACATTATAGAGCTCTACATAAACCGAAGAAGTGGTATCAATGTGTTTTTTATCACTTTTTGGACATCACTGTAGAGAATGCATTCATCATGCAGGAACTAATGGCCAAGAGAAAGAACATGATGCCTTTGACTCGAAAGGCATTCTTGGAGACGCTTATTTTAGAGCTTACAGAAATTGGTACTTAGGATTTGGCACCAGTTTCCTCCACTTCTTCTTTAGCAGTTCCTCCTCAGTAGTTCCCTCTTCTTTCCACAAGCCAAAGAACATCACACCAGACAACACGAGTAGAAGGAAGTGCAGGTTCTGCAACCAGACAACTCTTGTGATGTTGTGCTTTCAGTCTGAGAGGGACGGTTTCAATGATTGGCATGAAAAATAAGGCTTTTGATTTATGGCTTCAGTGAATGTTACTATGTTAAGAGTCGTTTTTGTACCATGTTAACTGTTTTAGGTGCATTGCTTGATTCCAATTATCAGAATATTTAAAATAAATTTAAAATTGTAAACTGGAATAAATATGTTTTGAATCGTATTAAATTATCTAAATTTTATGTATGTTTCATGTATAATATTATTAACTGGCTGAAAAACAACTGCAGAACCGCATGTCCAGCAGTTTTATTAGAAACTGCAGCCACAGGGCGGAAGTGAGGGGTGAAGTTGCGATACATGGTTCCCTATTTCCACATGGATTTGGATCGTATCAATATTTAACAACAATACTTTATTAAAAGTCACGTTTCTGGTCATACTTGCATAAGATATCATGATGTAAAATAAGCATCTGGCCTATTAATCATTGTTAATGTTAAAGGATACAAAAACAATAGTTTTATTGTTAATTCAATGATATATGCTACAACAAGACAGACTTTTATTTTAAAACTATTAATGAATGTGTAACCGGTTGTAAAGTGTTTCCCATTTGATTATATGTGATCGTATTTCCTTCATGATGCTCATGTTGTTACAAATAATACTACTTGAAGACACAGCATGTGACGTAGGCCTATTTAATGCCAAATATATTGTAATCATGAAATTCAATATAAAATTTAGCCAAATATTCAGCAGCAAACACCCGCAAGGATTGATCTTCAGTACTCTCCCGATGGATCCAAAGAAAAGTACTGAGAATGGTGAGACTTGAGTAAAACATGCATTTCTTTGCATGAAACCAATAGGGCATTTATAAAAAAATATATAGCTTAATTAATAAGAATAATGTATTTACTTTTGACATGCAAAAAAAAACTTGAGCGCTCATTTATATTCTTTAAGAAGTACGTACAACACCCAAATCAAACTTGAAATGGACTGAAAACATGACTGTAGGGACTTTTTAGTGAGCAATCAGCTTGGTGAAATTAAAGGTATATAGGCTACATCTTCGTCTCTGATCAGTGTTTACCGAGCTTGATAACTGATGATAATAAGTTGAGTATTAATAAGAACAGCTGAACATCAGTTCACAAGTAAAATATGTTGTTTAAATTGTGCCTTTTAGTTATTATTCTGGAATCAATGTAAACATGCTTTAAAAACTAACTTTAGTTTTATACTTGGTTTTAATTAATATCGTTTTAATTACGTAGTTATTGTAAAATACAAAACAGAATTTCTCTATTTTATGTAATGTTTATTTAACCAGGAAGATGTGACATTAAGTGTAAATGTGACATGAATTTATATATATATATATATATATATATATATACCGTATATATTGTTCTGTTGTCAAATATCTTATTAGCTTAAATGCATGTTTCACTTGTTCAAGTCTTTGGATTAAATAAAGTATATTTGACATTGAATGCCTATACTCTGTGTCTTTAAGTAGCTAGTATTTGTTACAACATGAACATGAAGGAAATAATTGCATCACATAATAGGCATAAATGCAGTCAAATGGGAAACATTTTATTATACGTTTTCAAAATTTAAAATATTTGTAAAATTAAGTGAAATGAATGACCAATGTTTGAGAGGCTGCTCACTGCAGAGCAAATGGGTGGAGCTTACGTCTTGAAATGTTCCTGTCATACACAGCCTGAACCGATTCGCGGGAAATACTTCCTTTCACTCATCACGCCACTTCCTGGACTCTCGCGCGGAGAACAAATGAGCCTTTTACTGTCTATGAAATGAGCACCGTTGTTGCTGATATCCCTCTTACCCTAGCACGTGAGTTATGTCAGTTTTATGGCATATATTCGAAACGGTTCGAAACAATGCCAACTATGCGGTGCATAGACAATAATGTCTTGTGGTTTGTTTGTTTACCTTACACATACACTAGCCACTGATTATTCAGCAGCAAACATCCGCAAGGATTGATCTTCAGTACTCTCCCGATGGATCCAAAGAAAAGTACTGAGAATGGTGTGGAGGACAGTACAGGAAGTAGTGATGAAGATACTGATATTTGTGACCAGGACAGTGTGGCCAGCAGTGTGGACAGCACAGCAGAGGAAATGTTTATGGATGGCCTTGACTCTGTTTTAGATCGGTGAGTTTTTCGACACATTTTCTTGATAGTTTTTTTTATGTATTTTAGCGATTACATTTATGATGTGGGGTAAATATTATGCTTGATGCAAAGAAATCTAATTTTATGGACATCCTTTACTAAAAATGTACATTGCTTTGTTATACTAGTAACAGCAACTGTAATGTATGAAACATTGCAGATCCATAGTAAATAATCCAATTTTTTTATAGTCATAAAAGCCATAGTCATAATAGTTTAAGAGCATGTTTTCAAATAAATAAATAAAAAACCCCAGAAACAACATGCCACACTGGGTCTTCTGCCACAATTCCTAATGGGATTCGTTTTTGATATGTCATCAGAGTTTACTCACCCTCGTGTCATTCCAAACCCATAAAGCTTTGTATTCTGAACACTCATTCATATATTTTTATTACCTGAGAACTTTCTGTCCCTCCATTTAAAGTCCAGGTAACCAAAAAAAAAAAAAAGAAGTCATGAAGGCATTATTTTTGAACAAATCCATATGAAGCAAGCGGTTCAATCCTAGTCTTGTGAAGAGGTACAATCCCTTTACTCTACAGAGTAAGACATAGTTATAAATTTGACTGATTTCCATTACACGAGAGTAGATGTTAAAACTTCATGCTGATTTGTACTCTGCTTTCGCCAAGATAAGCAACACTAAGACGTAGCTTTACAGTAAACTATGCTTCATCCATTTACGCTTCTTTCCATATGGTGGTGTGACTCCCCTTCTGTCCGGCGTTAACGGCTGCAGTGTACTTGGCGCGTTAGCACACACGGCGGCTGCAACCAACTACAGTGTGGTCTCCCTAGTGGACCAGCACGACAACCGTCTGGATTGAGCCAAGTAGGGGACATCTCTAGGGTCTTCAAGTGGGCACCTTCCGTCCTCAGTGTTTCGTCGACTAGCCCACGACACCTCAAGAGGGTCACCCCACGTCACCCCAGTCACCCCCCTCCGTTCCCCACTCAACTCAGCCCAGCTTACTGACCTCTACATCCCTCCTGCTGCTGAGACCTAACCACAATCTCACAATCTCTCCCCAACCCAACCATACGCATAGGGATGGGACGATTACCGGTTTCACGATAAACCACGATAAAATATTCTGACGGTTAGTATTATCGTTTAAAAATTAATCATCATTAAAACCGTGTTTGATTATCGCGATTTTAATAACTCACTGTAAATCCTGTCAAGCCAGCAACAGTCTGACGCAGGTGCAGCGCGGAATGTTTTTTTTTTTTATTCGAGAAGGAATGGCGGAAGGCAGTGAGATTTTTCGTGTTCGGGAGATTTTTCAGCCTTTTAAGAGGACGAAATCTGAGGTGTGGTCATATTTTGGCTTTTACAAAAGTCCTGAGGGAAACTTGATCGAGGATGGTCACCCTGCTGCTGAACAAAAAGTCGCTGCAATAGAAACACTTCAAATCTGCCGAGTCGTCTTGTGTGACCATCACCCAGTGTTGTATAGCGAACGCAAGGCAAGTTAACTTTGACCTCAATACCAAAACTACGTCTGGGAAATAATTGGGCACACAATGTTGTTTTGAGTTGAAATATTTTGTCACCCACTTGAAATAAACGTGCAGCTTACGCGAAGAAAAGTTTGCGGCTTTGAGCCAAAGACGAACGAACAACTTCAAACAAGACTATTATTATGAGTGACATTTTAAGGGATAGTAATGTATAGTTTCATTGTACACTTGTTACACCGATTTTATTTTTACCACATAATTACGGGGACATATTGAATTGAGATTAATGTTTTAAATCTTACCCGTTTATAAATCCATTTTGTACAGCGTACAAAACAATCGTCCAGACAAGATGATCACAACAATATTATCAAACTCTGTAAACAATAAGTCAACTCCGATAAAACGGGAGACGCAAGACGGCAAGTTGTATTTGAATGAAACGAGCGCCCGTCCGTTGTGATACATGGATGTGCGCTGTGTAATAATGCGTTGCTATTGACGACGGGCATTATAAAGAAGGAAATGCCACAAAATAGAATCTTGCTTAAAAAACTGCATAGAGCTGCTTGTTTTATTTGTTGTTTGTTGATTTTCAAATATAAAACTTGTTGAAATGTTTTCAGTGTGAGCATCAGTTCTTTTTGAACACTTTCATCTAATTTTAACAAAACCGTGATAATATTGATAATCACGATAATTTTGGACACTATAATCGTGATATGAAATTTTCATACCGTCCCATCCCTACGCGCCAACCCGTTTGACTAAGGCTGTCGAGCCCCACTGGTGCGTTAATGCAGTTTCAGTGGCAACGGTTCCGTATGGCATACCACCTACCGCAAAAACACAATATCTGCCCAACCACCCGTCATTCACACAATATACACAGGAACGTAGTGACTGTAAATACTACAACCTATACAAATAAACCAACAGACTCTTCAAGTTTTCAAGAATTCTACGAAACCGTAGCGTGGCGGCCTGTACAGAGCCAGCTAGAATCTTTCCGTCTCAACCACAGCCAGTTGCTGCTCCTTTCTGCTGCTTCAGATAAGTTGTTTACTGTGCGACGCAACTCTTGGCCACTGAATCCGACGTCTCTGAGGAACCGGGTTGTAGAGTGTGCCACAAAACCTCGACAACCCACTTCCACTGGATAAACCTGGACTCTCCATCCTCGCTGTTCTGCTTCAGTGGCCAGATGAGCATACCGCAGTTTCTTCCTCTCATATGCCTCATCTACCGCATCCTCCCATGGCACTGTTTACTCTATCAGTTGAGCAATGCGTGCTGATCCAGACCACAAAACAATATCTGGTCGTAGGTTAGTGGTGGCAATCTCAGGTGGAAAAATAAGCCGTTGATCAAAATCAGCCAGCATCTTCCAGTCCCCAGCAGCTTCCAGTTGTCCTGGGCGAGAATTGGTGTTAACACCTTTTCTTGGTGGTTGCTCGCCTGGGCGGAGGAATATATAATAAATAAAATAAAAAGTTGGTTTATTACATATAAACTTAAAGGCCTATTAACAGATTACTATTAAATGTGATTAAAATGTTAATTTGACTAAACGGCTGTTAAAGGGATAGTTCACTTTGGAATTAATTTTTGGCATGTTTTAGCTTACCTCAAGGGCATCCAAGATGTAGGTGTCTTTGTTTCCGCAGTTTCAATTTTGATATTTTTAGGTCAAACCGTTCTAGTCTGTTAGTCATATAATGCAGGTCTATGGTAACTTTCTCAAAGAGCATGCACAGAGAAGTCCAAATTAAACATGATTTAATGACTCGTAAATGTAAGTACACATTGATGGCCTAAGACACGAAACGAGCGGTTTGTGTGAGAAAACAAACAGTATTTATATAGTTTTTACCTCTTGTAAACACAGCCACGTCCAAGTGATCTGATGGCGCGTGTACGTCCCTCATACAATTGTTTTATTTTAATTTTAATTTTAAATTGTTTTCTTTTACGACGGTTTAAACATCCCGGATAAGCGCAAATTAGTACCATTTTAATTAGCCGTCTTACCTACAATCTCTGTTCTGTGTAAACAATGAGTGACGTACACGCACGAGAGATCACTTCCGGCGCCATCAGATCACTTGGACGTGGCTGTGTTTACAAGAGGTAAAAACGATATAAATACTGTTCGTTTTCTCACACAAACCGCTCGTTTCGTGTCAGGCCATTAATGTGTACTTACATTTACGAGTCATTAAATCATGTTTAATTTGGACTTCTCTGTGCATGCTCTTTGAGGAAGTTACCATAGACCTGCATTATATGACTGACAGACAAGAACGGTTTGACCTAAAAATATCACAATTGAAATTACTGCGGAAACAAAGACACTTACATCTTGGATGCCCTTGAGGTAAGCTAAAACATACCAAAAATTAATTTCAAAGTGAACTATCCCTTTAATGTGTTCTTATCACTTTTCCATTGCACTGTAAAGAAAGTTAACCAACCAATAAGATTTTAGTCACATGCCTAGAGGCACTGGGGGGGTCACATAAAACTAACGACTCGGTGGCGCTCACAACTGTTTTGCTAAGCGACAATGAATAGCAAAGAAAAAATCCAGAACAAACTCTTGTCCTTGTTTGAAGCCAATAAAAAAACCTGAACGGCTGTTTGAAGTGAATGGGGTGGGGTAACGGCTGTGTATCTGCTTTTCTATAAGCGGCACCTGCTGTCAGAGAGTGAATTGGCATGTTCATTCAGCCTCTCTTCCATTTTTTATGCATTGGTCTAAGCAGATAAATCAAATTAAAAAATGTGTTGGTGTTCAACAGAATTCAACAGAGTTGTAAAGTACATTACTAATCCTGTTTTGTTTTTCTTCTTGTATCATGCAATAGGCCTTCATGTGACATTTACACACCAGAGGAGGACTGTGATTCAGAGGACAACCCACAGCAGAGAAAGAGATCCCATCTGTCCTTCACATCTTCCACTGCTGATAGGGATGGCAGAGAGAGTGAAAATGATGGTTTCTCTGTATCAATAGAAAGGTGGCACAGCTCAGATGAAGCAGATGTTGAACCGCTTCAGCTGGATTTCACTCCTGTCCAAGAACCTGGGCCAAAGTTTTTACCAAATAGGCTTAAAAGTCCTCTGCAGTTTTTGCAACTGTTGTTTCCAAAGACAATGATGCGATCTATTGTAGCGCACACAAATGACTATGGGACCAAGTGCAAAGATGTGGGTGATCATTGGCTCTACATTTCTCTGAAAGACTTGAAGTCGTACATAGCACTGGTCATTTACACATGTCTCGTGAAGTGCTCTTTGCTGACAGAATATTGGAGGGAATCACATTACTTCAGTCCATCCTTTCCTGCACAAGTCATGTCTTATCAAAAATTTGTGACAATCGCCAATGCTCTTCATTTCAGTAATACCAAGGAGGATGAGAAAAATGACTCGAAGAAGGGAACAGCAGCCTATGAACGGTTGGGTAAAATTCTACCTCTATATCAAGTCATTAGGGAGGCTTGCAAGACTTACTTTCATCCCTTTCAGAACATCACCATTGATGAAAGAATAGTAGCAGCACAGCCTAGAACTGGACTCAAACGACGCATCGAAAACCAATCTACAGATAGAGGATACAAACTCTTTGCACTGACAGACTGCACCTCTGGCTATACGTGGGACTTCTTTATTTACGAGGGGAAGTCATGTTCTTCACAGAGCGAGGGCTTGAGTTATGAGTCCGTTATTGCATTGGTGGATGAAAATATGTTGGGTTCTGGGTACAAACTGTTCGTAGACAAATTTTACACCAGCCCCACACTCTTCAGGAACCTTCTAGGTAAAAAGGTCTGGGCTTGCGGCCCTGTTTTGCCGACCAGGAAAGGTTTCCCAAAAAATTCGGTGAACAGACTGAGACGGAACGCTCCGCGCGGCACCATGCGTTGGATTAGGGATGACGAACTGCTGTTTGTTGAGTGGAAAGACTTAAAGGAAGTGCAGATGTGCTCCACCTTCCATAAAGCCTATGAAGGTGATACTGTGCAGAGGAAGGTGAAGGGTGACACTCAACCGACCCATGTGCAGGTCCCCATTCCAGCTGCGGTGTTGGACTACAACAGGTTAGTAGAATTTCTGTGATGTTCCTTTGCCTATTTCTTGAAGTCGGTTTCAGAGGCTACCCAGGTAAGTTTAGTTTAAAGGTGAACTAAGTAACTTATTTACCTTAACCGAACAGCTTTGGAGTCATTGTAATGTTTGTATTACTGATTTTGTGTTGAATGGTGGTCGTCTCGCACCCCCCTGGTGCCTGTGAGCCGCAAAACCACCCTTGCAACTTTGGGCCGCCGGCTTCAGTGTTAGGAAGTATCGTGTGATATCAGGTCTCGCGAGGTAACGAATTGCTTTACCTTATTTCCACTCGTTACAGCGTCCATCTTACTGAACAGGTACCGGTGTACAGGGGGAGGGGATCCGGCCGTGAGTGCGAGCCATCTCTGCGTGAGTGCTATTTACGACAGTGCAAGTACTCCACAGCGACTCTAGGGGTCGCTGTTTGACAAAAATTCCTACTTAGTGCTGCTTTAAGCAAACTCTACACAGCTAAACTGCTCCAGATCAGGTTTTATTCTGGGTTGGAGATCACAAATTAACCTGGGCAAATCAGCTGTGAGCGAAGTGACACATCTGATGCAATAAAGCCCCTCCCCCTGGATCTCTTGCTGCAAATGAAAGCAGTTCAGAATGAAAGAAATTTAGACGAAATGTCCTTATTTATTATATTTATTTTATATATTATATCTTTAATGCATAACCACAGATAGGCAACTATATTTTGACAATTAATATCCAACTTTTAATTTCAATTAAAATAAATACATACAAATACAATCTTAAAGCTTTTAAAAATCGCTGAATGTATTTTTTTTCCCCTTTTAAGCTCTTTGTAAATCAAAATAAATTAAATGTACTCAGTTGATTCACTTGCAATAGTAAAGTATTATTAATTAATATATTCTTTCAGGTACCTTCTCAAGCTTTTTTATGTTTTGTAAATGCGTTTAAATTCATGATATTTTTCATACTGATGTCTTAATCTTCTGTAGAAAAGTGAATTGTGCCGACTCTCTCATAAGACATCAAACTGATGCTCTCAGTGTTTAGTGTGATTGGTGAGGTGAAGATGACACACTTTCAAGAGCTTCAGAGTTAATTGTAATCTTTAGATCAAACACAGAATGTTTATAGTGAGAGTTGTGAACCTAAACCGGCTTGGATTTGTTTGGTTTTGTCTACTTTAACCTACTCTGAGTTTGCTCCAATAGCTTTGTGTAAAAGGCCATTTGTGTCATTATATTGTTCATATGCATTTATTCACAGGAATGGTTATCTTTTGAGTTTAAAAATAGTAGCTTTTTCTCTCCACCCAGGAACGTGAGGACAGTGGATCCATCCAGTTCCGTTACTGGGCATTACAGAGTGCTACATAAACCAAAAAAGTGGTATCAGTGTGTTTTTTATCACCTTTTGGACATCGCCGTGGAGAATGCATTCATTTTGTATGAACTGGTGGCAAAGAGAAAAAAACAAAAAGCACTGACGCGAAAGGCATTCCTAGAGAAGCTTGTTTTAGAGCTAACTGAAATGGATGATGAGGACAGGTCTGGCTCTGCACCAGCTCCTTCCTCGTCTTCTCCTCCCGCGACTTCCTCAGCTTCTCCTGAATCATCAGTTACTGAAGGATCCCACAATCCCAAGTACTTCATGTCGGACAGTACCGCTGGTAGACGTAAGTGCAGGCTCTGCCACCAGAAAACTCCAATCATGTGTGCGACTTGCGAAGTGCCACTGTGCTTTCAACCCAAGCGTGACTGTTTTAATTACTGGCATGAACGAGGTGTTTGATTCATGACTGTGTTCAAGGTATGTAAATGAAAGTTTCTCCTACTTTTTCAGGGTGCTCACTTGAATAATTAAATAAAATTCCTTTGTTCTAAAATTGAAGTAAATATGGGTTGTATTTTTTTTTTATCTACTTTTACAGTCAGTACTGCAAACTCGTCTACCTTTGCTACATAGTAAGTGGAACCGTCCATGGAGGACACGAATGTGTCGTGGAATGTCAGGAGGCACTACCATTCAAAAGTTTGGGGTCAGTAAGATTTTTGATGCATATGAAAGAAGTTTAAAAAAAAACAAAATATTGTGCAATATTTTTACATATTTTTTTTCTATTTTAATATATTTAAAATTTTAATTTTACAATTTTAAAGCTACATTTTCAGCAGCCATTACTCCAGTCTTCAGTGTCACATGACCCTTCAGAAATCACTCTAATATGCTAATTTGGTGCTCAAAAAACATTTAGTGTTGATAATGGTTGTGCTGCGTAATTCTTTCTTCGTTCTTTTGAAAAATGAAAAAGAGCAGCATTTACTTGTCTTGTAGCTTTTGTAACGGTGGATCAATTTTAATGGGTCCTTGCTGAATAAAAGTATTTATTTATTTTATGCTAAATATAATGTTGTAGCCTATGCATTAATACTGTGTGACTCTCATTTCATTTATTTCTTTTTATTATCATTATTGTCGGCAGTGTGAATCTCAATAATACATTGAGAGAGAATAATCAAAATTAAACAAGTACAGATTATTTGTCCCACCAGTTTTCACATTTGTTAAATTACATATTTGTATGACCCCTGTGGGATTACAAATTTAAAGGGGTGGTTTATAATGATTTCACTTTTCTAACTTTAGTTGGTGTGTAATGTTGCTGTTTGAGCATAAACAACATCTGCAAAGTTACAGCGTTTAAAGCAAAGGAAGATATTTGCTTTTAAAGAAATCGCTTTTTAAGGACTACAACAAACGGCTGGTAGGGACTACACGACATTCCTCCCGGGTTAGTGACATCACCAACCCTAAAATTTACATAAACCCCGCCCTCGGGAACACGCAGTCCATGTTGAGAAGAAGAGTTGTAGTAGTAAAGCACATTTGGGACTGTGCTCAAGCTGTCGCATCCGTCTTTTCACATGCAATAGTACGTAACACAAATGCAATAGCATGTCACTCTGTAGGCATCTTACAACAGTTCCCACACCAGCGATTTTATAGATTATCATGACAGAATATGCTAATCAAAGACTTGAAGATAGTTAACTCCACATCAGCAACATAAATTCATCAACTAGCCATTCAGAAACGTCCTGCTGCATTCTACATGTCACTTCTTCTTGAGTCTCTCCATCATTGTCCGACAGTTTAAACAAAAGGCAGAACAGTTTCTGACATTTTAGTTCTTGTCTGCGTGAGTTCTTTTTTCTTTTTTTAATGACCACAGACAGTCAGGTCCTTGGTTTAACCTCTCATCCGAAGGCCGGTACTTTTTACAGTATAGCGTCCCCGTCACTTTACTGGGGCATTAGGACCCACACAGACATGAGCACCTCTTCCAGCAGCAATAGTTTTCCCAGGAGGTATCCCATCCAGGTACTGACCAGGCTCAACCCTGCTTAGCTTCAGTGGGCAACCAGTCTTGGGCTACAGGGTGATATGACTGAGCATGAAAAATATTTTAATAATATCATTGCCATCAAAATTAAGAATGACAACATGCAGCTCTATGTGTTTCTGTGTGAGAGAGGAGACAGTATGTGCTTGATCTTTTTCCTTTGCACATATTTTCCTTTTCACTAACCAGCGTGACTTTTATTTAGTTTGAAGATCAAATTGTTTGTTATGGAACTATTTTTGTCCATTGATAAAACAACAGTAGACAGTGCATCAAAACAATATGAATATTTATTTTAACAATAATCATGATTACAGAATTGTTTAATGTAAAAAAATAAGTACATTCTGATCATTGCTTTACCCTCCCTAAAGTAAAATAACACTAGTTCATTCAGTCTAACAAGACAGTGATTCTTAACCCTAATGTGCACACAAGATGATGGCTACATTTACACAGTCAGGATTGGCTCTCAGATTGAACTGTGTATATTAGGGGTGGAACGGTACACAGAAGTCACGGTTCGGTTCATACCTCGGTTCAGACATCACGGTTCGGTACGATTTCGGTACAATGGAGGGAAAAGCAAAACAAAAATGCAGAAGGCATTGTATTTTTTAAATAAGTTTTATTAATAAAGGCATAGAACCAGTTTATTTGTAGCGCACTGACAATAGTTTTATATAATTAGTTTATTAATTAAATTAATAAAAAGACAAAAAGACCTTGCGATACGTTTGGTAATTGTACCTGAATTAATTTTAAATTATTTTGCTATATTTCAGATCAATAAATTTGTTTTCCTTAATTTTAATTAACATTATTAATTAACAATGTAACATTCTCATTTGAATTAGAAATAATTGATTTCTGTATAAAATAATACTACCATTACACATTCGATTTTCTTTTTTTAATCAATGTAGAATGTGTAAGATTAGTGCTCCGAGGACAAGAAATGAAAACCAATGCAATATGACGAATGTCCAAAAGATGGGACCCACAGACTGTTTTGAAATGGAGTTGGATAAATATGTTTTGCTTTTAAAACAGTGTGTGTGATTTTGGTTGGGTGACAGTTGTAGGTTACAGTTTGACAAGACTTTAGAGTGTGACAAAAGCACAATGTTGTGTTTTATTGCGAGTGTAGACAAATATAAGTAAACACTTTGCAGGTTTAATGATCTGTATGAACAAAATGACGGAGTATGTTTTTTATGTTTCCACTGTTCGATCGCGCGCCTCTCTCTCTCTCTCTCTCTCTCTCTCTCTCTCTCTCTCTCTCTCTCTCTCTCTCTCTCTCTCTCTCTCTCTCTCTCTCTCTCTCTCTCTCTCTCTCTCTCTCTCTCTCTCTCTCTCTCTCTCTCTCTCTCTCTCTCTCTCACACACACAGTTCGATCGCGCCCGCGCGCCTCTCTCTCTCTCTCTCTCTCTCTCTCTCGCACGCACACACACACACACACACACTCCAGCATTGCAATCTTGACATCACAGCCTGTCCATTATGCGGTCACGGTCACACCAAACGCGAATAGAGCGTCAAATTCGCGTCTAGTTCGACGCTAGTCCAAAGCGAATAGGACGAGCGTATAAAGCCAACGTTTGAAGTGAACGCGCGTTCAGAGCTAAGCAGCTAAGCCGATGGTACAGATTATGTGTCCCTAAAGAACCCGCGTATCTAACAGTAGTTCCGCATTACAGTTTTATTTATTTTTATACCGTGTATTCTCCGTGTAAATTCGTGCACCGAACCGTGACGCCCGTACCGTTTCGGTTCGATACGAATACATGTACCGTTCCACCCTTAGTGTATATATACAACAGCAGACAGAAGCGCGTCAAATAATAACAACAACAACAGGTAACCAAAGTCAAACCCTTTCAATTTACAATAGCCCTGAGTAATGCCTGTTATATGATAGTAAATAGCAAGACTTTGTATTGCATCTTTGAGGATTACAACAGAATCCTCTTTTATGTTCTTTTGGTTCTGACTTCGGTGTAAGTAGTAAAGTCTGAACTCTGCAATCTCTTTTTCTTCAGCATGGACAGCGTGTTCAATGATGCGTAACAAACTTCATCTTCTCGCTGGAAAATATCAACAACATTAATATACAAAATACAAATTGTAGATGAAGACTATTTAATTTGTTCTGATGTGATAAATGTTTGAGATATGGGTTGTCAGGATGTGCACAAGTATTGCAGTACCTCAAAAAAGCTATTCTCAGTCTGTGTTGCTGCAGAAACTACAAAATATTAAAATAAGAGAACTTGATTCAGAAAATATAATCAGCATGACATTTAAAATACATATAATTGTTCACAAAACTCAACTGGAGAGCCAAAGGCATTTTATGCATGGTTGCATAACTAATTGTAATATTATACATGGTTCATTTTGTAACACTGATGATTCAAAGCAAATCTTGTGACATCAGAAAAATCAAACATACACTCACCTAAAGGATTATTAGGAACACCATACTAATACTGTGTTTGACCCCCTTTCGCCTTCAGAACTGCCTTAATTCTACGTGGCATTGATTCAACAAGGTGCTGAAAGCATTCTTTAGAAATGTTGGCCCATATTGATAGAATAGCATCTTGCAGTTGATGGAGATTTGTGGGATGCACATCCAGGGCACGAAGCTCCCGTTCCACCACATCCCAAATGCTCTATTGGGTTGAGATCTGGTGACTGTGGGGGCCATTTTAGTACAGTGAACTCATTGTCATGTTCAAGAAACCAAATTGAAATGATTCGAGCTTTGTGACATGGTGCATTATCCTGCTGGAGCCATCAGAGGATGGGTACATGGTGGCCATAAAGGGATGGACATGGTCAGAAACAATGCTCAGGTAGGCCGTGGCATTTAAACGATGCCCAATTGGCACTAAGGGGCCTAAAGTGTGCCAAGAAAACATCCCCCACACCATTACACCACCACCACCAGCCTGCACAGTGGTAACAAGGCATGATGGATCCATGTTCTCATTCTGTTTACGCCAAATTCTGACTCTACCATCTGAATGTCTCAACAGAAATCGAGACTCATCAGACCAGGCAACATTTTTCCAGTCTTCAACTGTCCAATTTTGGTGAGCTCTTGCAAATTGTAGCCTCTTTTTCCTATTTGTAGTGGAGATGAGTGGTACCCGGTGGGGTCTTCTGCTGTTGTAGCCCATCCGCCTCAAGGTTGTGCGTGTTGTGGCTTCACAAATGCTTTGCTGCATACCTCGGTTGTAACGAGTGGTTATTTCAGTCAAAGTTGCTCTTCTATCAGCTTGAATCAGTCGGCCCATTCTCCTCTGACCTCTAGCATCAACAAGGCATTTTCGCCCACAGGACTGCCGCATACTGGATGTTTTTCCCTTTTCACACCATTCTTTGTAAACCCTAGAAATGGTTGTGCGTGAAAATCCCAGTAATTGAGCAGATTGTGAAATACTCAGACCGGCCCGTCTGGCACCAACAACCATGCCACACTAAAAATTGCTT